GGGTCGTCTGATGGAAAATGGAATCAGAGCTAGTACCTTAGTGATTTGTGGCTGTGACCTCAACAATCGGAGCTGGGTGGTGTTGCAATGACTGGGTTGGGGATCAATTGTTTAAACGAGTCATTGTTTGGCCAAATCCTTAGCAAACATGCAAATTCTCAAAGAATTCGAGTGATGATTTGAGGGAAGCAGTCGATGAAATACTGTGGGGAGAGATACCGACAAAAAACCCGCCGCTGTAGCAACAGCGTCAAGCGACATCGCTGCTCAGATCGCAGCGACGACAACTTCCTCATTGTGGCTGCAACGACGACTCTCGCCAGGTGCATCATCACTGCGGCTGTCGGTGGGTAATGGAGGGAGAGAGAGGACAACGACGAGAGAGATGAGAGGTAGAGAGAGAATGTGTTTGGGGGAAATGAGGTGGGGGTGGGGAAGGAGTAAGAAAGAGGGACATGAATTTAGGGTTGAAAATTAATTTAGGGAGGGTGGGGTGTATATATATTAATTTTCTTAATATTATTATTAATATTTAATTAAATATAAAAAAAAACATGTATCTAAATATAAAATATCTGATTTTTGAAAATTAAAACTTGACATCTAATTTTTGAATTTGAGTCTTGAAAAGTATGGATTCCTGTAATTTCCACTTCATAAAATCCTAATTTATTTTTTAAATGCATTTTAATCATATATTCACATAATAAAATATTTTTCATGTAAATTTAATTTTTTTAATGCACATTCTTTAATATAATATTTTTCAAATTTGAAGGATGTGAAACTATAGGAAGATTTTCTCACATAAACAAATATAGACCTTTTTGATTCACATTCTTTCAAAATTCATTATTTCAAAATTCATTTTCAACTACACATTCTTTAATAAAATAATATTTTTCATCACATTCAAAATTTTTCCTTATTTTTTAATCATATATTTTTTGTCATTTCTATCACATCATTATTTAAAATATATTATTTTCTCGATAACGTGCATCAAACACCCAGCACCCTCTAATACATTTTTCGAAGCAATAAGCATAATTCTGAATGTACAGAATTATTGGCTACATAAATTGGCCAAAAACTCATATGGGGTGGGCCCCATGTGAGTAAAATATTGGAAAAAAAACCCACCCACCCCCTTGTTGCGAGAGATCTGTCCATTTTTCGGCCACTTTCCTTCTGTACGAGTAGAAGGATTCTTTTCAAAACATTCTCAAGGAGGAGGTAGAGGACACATGGAGAAATCACTAGGGTTTTACGGGAAAACAGGTTCTTGATGCTCGAGGAAAATTTTTTCCTTATCAATCGTTGCTATACTGTAAGTGATGATACCAAAAATTGCACCTGGACAAACTCGAGCCAAATGGAAGAGCTCCACGCGATCCGATCTTCAATACCTGAAACAAAGGCGTCGAGGCGTGTCCTCGTCGCCCCTCCGATGCTTAAGTCAGATAGGTGCACAAGAGAAAACTTATGCTAAATGATATCAAAAAAGTACATGAATAATGAGGATATGTTATGTATTTATAGATGTTGGAGATTGAGTCCTAAAAGGATTCAACTTCATGCAATCCTTACCCTTGTTATTTAAGGTGTTTGTGTTGTGTTAAAATAGGCTGAGGTCGGGTTCAACAAAGTAGAGCGACCTGGGGTCGGGTCCAACAAGGTCTACATTTATATGCATCACAAGCCCCCGTGCATCTAGGTCGTAGCTGAAAACCCCACGTTCGAGCTATGGGATAAGATGTACTGAGGTGAACGTATCAAGCTCGGGCGTCGTGTGAAGGTATTGCTTATGCCTATTAAATACGTGGTCTGAGCTTGTTGGCCAATGCTTGGCCTATAAGCTCGAGTTTTATGTTAAACAGGTAGCTCGAGCTTTTTACTTGACCAATTTTTGGCCGATAATCTCGAGTTTTGTATGGAATACGTAGCTCGAGTTTGTTACTTGCCCAATTTTTGGCCATTAAGCTCGAATTTGTTTGAAATACGTAGCTCGAGCCCGTTACTCGGCCAATTTTTGGCCATTAAGCTAGACTTTTGTTTGAAATACGTAGCTCGAGCTCGTTAATCGGCCAATTTTTGGCCATTAAGCTCGAGTGTTGTTTGAAATAGGTAACTCGAGCTCGTTACTCCGCCAATTTTTGGCCATTAAGCTTGAGCGTTGTTAGAAATACGTAGCTCGAGCTCGTTACTCGACCAATTTTCAGCCATTAAGCTCGAGTTTGTTTGAAATACGTAGCCCGAGCTCGTTATTCGGCCATTTTTTGGCCATTAACCTCGAGTTTGTTTGAAATACGTAGCTCGAGCTCGTTATTCGGCCAATTTTTGGCCATTAAGCTCGAGTTTGTTTGAAATACGTAGCCCGAGCTCGTTACTTGGCCATTTTTTGGCCATTAAGCTCAAGTTTGTTTGAAATAGGTAGCTCGAGCTCGTTACTCAGCCAATTTTTGGCCATTAAGCTCGAGTTTTGTTTGAAATATGTAGCTCGAGATCATTACTCGGCCAATTTTTGGCTATTAAGCTCAAGTATGTAATAAATA